AACCCTAACCCTAACCCTCACCCTAAACCCAAACCTAACCCTACCCTGACCCTAACCCAACCCCTAACCCTAACCTAACCCTGACCCTAACCCAACCCCTAACCTAACCCTAACCCCAACCCTAACCCTAACCCCTAGACCCCGACCCCTAACCCTTAACCAACCCTAACCCTAACCCTTAACCCTAAACCCTAACCCTGACCCTCCCCTACCCCCTGACCCCTAAACTCAACCCTGACCCCTAAACCCTAATCCTAACCCCAACCCCAACCCCACCCCTCCCCCGACCACAGACCCTAAACCCTCACCCCTAACCCCCATCCTAACCTACCCCTACCCAAACCCCCTGACCCTAACCCTACCCTAAACCCTGACCCCTAACCCCAACCCTAGACCCCTAAACCCTGACCCCCGACCCCTAACTCTAGACCTCACCCTAACCTACCCCAACCCTAAACCCTGACGGTAACCTAACCCTACCCCCATTACCCCTGACCCAACCCTAACCCTGACCTTAACCCTACCCCACCCCTAACCTAACCCCAACCCCGACTCTCCCCCCAAACCTAACCCCCTACCCTCACCCCTAACCTGACCCTAAACCCTAACCCTACCCGCCCCTACCCCTTGACCCTGACCCCACCCCCAAAACCCATACCCTAAACCCAACCCTAACCCCAAAAACCTAACCCTTAACCCTATCCCTGACCCTCACCTAACCCAGCCCTACCCCTGACCCCCACCCCAAACCCTGATCCCGACCCCCCTACCCTCACCCCAACCCTAACTAACCCTAACCCCTTAACCCTCACCCTAAACCATAAACCTAACCCCACCCCCTAACCCTATCCCAACCTAAACCCCACCCCTAAACCCTCACCCTGACCCCAACCCACCACCCTTAACCCTCTACCCCTACCCCCTGAACCCAACCCTCTACCCCTACCCCCTGAACCCTAACCTCCCCCCTCCTAACCCTGACCCTAAACCCCTAACCCAACCAAAACGCTAACCCTAACCCCACCAAAA